TGCAGGTCTCTTTTGGTTTCTTGCAGTAGTGTCTTGTAGTTTTCATTGTATAGGTCTTTTATGTCTGTTAGATTAATTCTTAAGTATTTTATCTTCTTGAGGGCTGTTGTAAATGGTATTGATTTGGTGATTTCCTCTTGGAAGTTCTCTTTGTTGGTATAGAGGAATCCAACTGATTTTTGTATATATCTCTTGTATCCTGATACTTTACTGATGTCTTCTATTAGTTCCCATAGTTTTCTTATGGATTCTTTGGGGTTTTCTGTGTATAAGATCATATCATCTGCATCGACTTCTTCCTTACCGATTTGGATGCCCTTTATTTCTTTTTCTAGCCTAATTGCTCTGGCTAGGACCTCCAGCACAATGTTGAATAAGAGTGGGGATAAAGGGCATCCTTGTCTGGTTCCTGTTCTCAAAGGGAGTGTTTTTAGACTCTCTTCATTTAGGATAATGTTGGCTGTTGGCTTTGTATAAATGTCCTTTATTATTTTGAGTAATGTGCATTCTATCCCTATTTTGCTGGGAGTTTTTATCATGAATGGGTGTTGGACTTTGTCAAATGCCCTTTCTGCATCAATTGATAAGATTATGTGGTTCTTTGGTTTTATTTATGTGATGAATTACATTGATTGTTTTTCTAATATTGAGCCATTCCTGCATACATGGTATGAATCCCACTCGGTCATGGTGAATTATTTTTTTGATATGTTGTTGAATTCTATTGGCTAGAATTTTGTTGAGGATTTTTGTGTTTATGTTCATGAGGGATATTGGTCTGTAATTTTCTTTTTTTGTAGTGTCTTACCTGGTTTTGGTATTAAGGTTATGCTGGCTTCCTAGAATGAGTTTGGGAGTATTCCATCCTTTTCTATGCGTTGAAATACCGTTAGTAGTAGTGCTGTTAACTCTTCTCTGAAAGTTTGGTAGAATTCTCCAGTGAAATCGTCAGGGCCACGGCTTTTTTTTTTTTTGGAATTTTTTAATTGCCTTTTCAATCCCTTCTTTTGTTATGGGTTTATTTAGTTGTTCTACCTCTATTTGTGTTAGTTTAGATAGGTAGTGTGTTTCTAGAAATTTGTCCGTTTCCTCTAGGTTTTCAAATTTGTTAGAGTACAATTTTTCATAGTATTTTGTTATGATTCTTTTAATTTCAGTTGGGTCTCTTGTGATATTGCCCATCTCATTTCTTATTCAGGTTATTTGCTTCCCCTCCTGTTTTTCTTTTGTCAGTTTGGCCAGTGGTTTATCGAGTTTGTTGATCTTTTCAAAGAACCAGCTTTTGGTCTTATTAACTCTTTCAATTGGTTTTCTATTCTCTATTTCATTTAATTCTGCTCTAATTATCATTATTTGCTCTCTTCTGGTGCCCAAGGGCTTCTTTTGCTACTCTTTTTCTGCTTGTTCAATTTTTAGGGTTAATGTTTTTATTTTGGCCCTTTCTTCTTTTTGGATGTGTGCATTTATTACTATAAATTGATCTCTGAACACTGCTTTTGCTGTGTCCCAAAGGTTCTGGTAGGATGTGTTTTCATTCTCATTTGATTCTGTGAATTTCTTTATTCCATCCTCAATTTTTTCTGTAACCCAGTAGTTTTTGAGCAAGGCGTTGTTCAGTTTCCACATGTTTGATTTTTTTTCCCTTGCATTTTCTGTTATTCATTTCCACTTTTATGGCTTTGTGGTCAGAAAAGATGCTTTGTAATGTTTCGATGCTTTGGATTCTGTTAAGGCTTGCTTTATGGCCTAATATGTGGTCTATTCTGGAGAATGCTCCATGTGTGTTGGAAAAGAAGGTATACTTGGCTGCTGTTGGGTGGAGTGTTCTCTGTGTATCTGTGAGGTCAAGTTGTTTGATAGTGGCATTTTCATCTTCCGTGTCTTTATTGAGCTTCCTTCTGGATGTTCTGTCCTTCACTGAAAGTGGTGTGTTGAAGTCTCCTACTATTATTGTGGAGCTGTCTATGTCT